CACAGCAGAAGGGGGTGTCATAACCCATCAAAAGCTTCCCCCAAAAGAGTCCCCAGACCCTACACTAGAGCACTGCAGCATAGTACAACAGATCCATGGTATTACAGGGGACAATGTCAGACTGACCCCCTACAGAAGAGACATGCGAGCGTTCCTGCTTAGAAAAAACTAATAAAAGAAAACAAAAAGACATTCTTTAAAACACTCAGAAGGGTGATATGCTTCCACCTAACCCCTGTCACCCTCTCTGTCCCTCACCCCCACACATACTTCCTTTTTCGATTTTATTCTCCTTTTGTTTTCCTTTCTTGTTCTTTCTCTGTATTTAATACAAAAAGTTTAAGCTCAAGCCAAATAAAATAAGAAAAAAACAAAGGGGGGAAATTGTTATAAATAACAAATATAGTTATTGGCTTTCACACTTATGTATTACTTTTGTTTTGCAAGTTATTATTGTTATAAATACATATAATATTGGCTTTTTGCAAATATTAAAAATGGATTCTATATGTATAATGTTAAGATAACTTTGCTATAGATATAGCTTTTATTTCTGCTATTAACAAAACTTAGACATGTAGTGAAATTGCTGATATAGTTATGCTTGTGGTAATTCACCTGCCTGCTTGTTTAGGATAACATCCAATGAACGTATGATGAAGACCCATGCTACTATCAGCACCTACCATCTGTAGAAAGTATGGACCAAAGCCCAAGCTGGAGGTGATAATAAGAACGGACCAAAACCACAGCCAAGAAATATGCATGCTCTAAAAAGGTGGACCTGAGGAGGAGCCATGCTAAACAGTTCTTGGAACATGCAAACTAGTTTGGGGGAAAGTTTAAATATGCATAATTGTTTATGAATATGCAGTAGGTTGATGCAATAGAAAAGGTATGTAAAGGGTGTCTCCAAAATAGCAGGTGTGCTCTTGGCTGAATGCCAAGCACCCAGCTGTTAAACTTTGCTTTATTATCTTGGTCTCCTATTGTCCTTTCTTAAACTATTAAATTTTACCAGGAGAGTGAACCTCACTTTTCACATTATTGATCACAAAAATCCTGATATAGTACAATTTGTAATTACTACTTTTGATATAGTATAATCTGTCAGTTTATGTATGCACCATATAGCTTTTATAAATAGTAGTGTAATTTATACTATTTTAGACCATCGCATAATAGAGACTGAAAAATGTTGAAATGCTTTTTCATGTAACTAACTCAGAAAATAGTGCAAAATAATTAGGTGGTTTCCCACATTCGAGGACTATCTTATCTGGAAGACAAGATAACAGCAACAGAAATCCGAGCACCGAAAAAAATTTATTGACCCACGTTATCAGGGAGTGAAAATACAACAGGATGGAACCACAGGAAGAAATAAAATATATTTGTTTTATTTACAAGATAGCATGAAGACAAGTCAAAAGTTAAAACCAAGCAAAAGAACATTGAAACTCAAAAGAATGTTTGAATATGTATAAACTCTTATGAATATACATGCACCCCCTATAATATAACAATATACAGAAAACATAGTTTAAGTTAACAGTGTGCTTTTGGCAAATAGCCAAGTACCCCAGCACTAGATTTTATCCCTTTTATTGTTTAATAAACTTTTATGAAAATTTTAAATAGTAAACTGTGTTTCTCACACCTATATAACCTGACATAAATAACTTTCATATACAATGTAATGGCTAGTATATGGTTAACTAGTTGCTTAATGATGAACAGGCAAAAAAAAAAGAAGAAAAAAACCTCACCAGGTGGATAGTTTCAGAGATAGATGAGTATAGTGCTAATGAAAAATTGGCAAATGTAAAGCCAATTAGCCACAAAATATAGAATTTAGGCCAGCTAGGGCCAGACAGACCAAGGAACACTGTAACCATGCATGCTCCGAAGACCAAGTTTAAAAGTTCAGATGCGAAGACGACTTTGGAAACCTTCATCAAAGACCCCTGAATTGGGAAGGCGCAAGTGCAGTGCAAAAGAACTATGTAATAACCATGAGATCATACTATGTAAATTAGTTCTGGCACGTATATGATGTTATAATGACATAGTAACACTAAGCAATACTTATTGTATAACTATACCACAGCAGTCGACAAAGGTGGCTGAGTTAGGAGGAGAAATCCCTCTCACCTCCAGTGCTGCAATAAACAAATACCTGCTCTATAGACACCAGTCTATGGGGTTTTATTTCCAGCCTATCTTTCGGCTATCCCTTTGTTCCTGGGGAGTTTATTAGATTTAACAATTTTGTATCTAGTGATTATTCATTGTTTGTTTTTTTTTTTTTTTGTCTGTTGCTGTTTCACTTGTTAGTAAATTGTTGTTTTTTCACTTATATCTACTCATGTGCATTTCTCCTTATTGATGGAAAGGGATTGGTTAAAACTAAGGGGAGGTAACTAATTTTATAGTGTCCCCGTTAAATTGTCTTTAAACCAAGACACTTGTGGATAAAACATGCTTGCTTTTTAATGCAACAGTATTCTGCTAAAGGGTAGGATTAAGCTAAAAGCCTAAAGATTTTTGACTCATAGCAATTTTAAATGATCAAACCTCACTCCTAAAGGCATTTTCAACAGTTTTCTCTTCTCAGTAATATTACTCAATTTCTACAGGTAAGCATTTTGAATTTATGGATCAATCAAGAGATGCTTAGAAGTCCCATGATTTAGAAAAGGAAAAGGTTGTTTTGCTTCAACACATTGGACTCCCTATTCTGGTATATCACATACTTTTCACCTCTACCATGGCTGAAAATTTCAGAGAAATTATCATACAAGCATTTTATATGCAACATGCCTAATATTAACATATTAAATATATATATAGTCCAATATTTATTCTCATCTTCCCAGTCAAATATAATTTATTCTTATGCTATAACATTTGGTTTATCTCTAATAAAAATAAACAGAAATGAGGAGCTAAGTATTTATCAGACTAAGATGAACATGTGATCTGATGTCCAGAAAAGGAGACTAATGCTAAATAATATTAGGGTTCAAATATCACCTCACACTGGGATTAATTTTTAAAATTACAAACAAAACTAAGGTGTGAAATCCAATAAGATAACCTGAATACCCAAAATTAAAAAATGAGCAGCTTTACATAAGCAGAAATAACAACTTGCTTTCTCTTTTAACAGTGAAGACTTTTCCATTTGACTCCCCAATAATATTAGGAGCAGGTAAAAAATAACATTGGAAATTTCACACTTACATTTAGCTTATACAGGATACACAAGACTTCGGGGTTATGAAAAGACCTCAGGAACAGCATTTCAAGGACATCAGTCTGAGATAAAATTTTCAATAACTTGCTTCCTTTGTCAGTCTTATCCAAGACTGGCTCTATCCTGTTTCAGTTTTTCACAGGAAAAGCATGGAAATATTGACTTCCATTTAATTATTAGACAAAGCAGGAACAACATTTTAATGTAAATATAAAACAGTTAAAGAGAACATATCCACTGTAAATAAAGGACTCTTGAACACATTAAGCCACAATTATTTTCTACTCAACATATACACAAGAAAGATAACAGATTTTAATTAGAATAAGTAACAGCTGCAAAGTAGAGAGTAATAACTCATCTCTTCACAATCAAATTAAAATACATGGTCTATGGTCACCAAGACAAGCAGCTGCAGTGACAGCACAATCTTCAGCTGAGTCCTCTTGCCCACGTGCACGGGGTGGGGGGATGGTCCTGAAATAGGGAAGGGAAACCGGGGAGAGGAAAGACGTGCTAGAAGCTCACACCTTGTCCGAAAGCAGGACTAGGGGAAACAGCAGCCAAGCCCACACACTTATAAAAAGCTTCTAGGGAGCCTTAGTAATTAGGGCAGGCAAAAAGGACATGGCATGGCAGTTTGCATGGAATGGCACTGTAACACCACAGGCCTGACTAGGGAGAAATGGTATCTACCTGTCGGAAGGCCACAGCTTCTCTAAACACTGCACCTGCCTTGACTGACACAGCTCTGATGGGAAATGGGAACACACTGTTACCCAAGTGTCAGGCTGCAGGATGTGCCCTATTCTTATGCCAGACAACAGTGGTGAGAACACCTGTGGGAGATGCAACAAGATAGAGGAACTCCTCAGTTTAGTAGCAGAGCTCCAACAGGAGGTGAATAGATTGAAGAGTAGGAGTCTGAGAGATAGACTACAGGAATTGCACACTACCTTCCCTGGGATAGGCCTATAAGAAAGACAGGACATATGATACTGAGGATTCCCTATCCTCTCTCCACCTTGCAGAATGCAGTGTTTTAAGGGATATGGGGAATTGCAACAAGTTCCTGCCTGGCACAGCAGGCATGTCTCCTCCATGACTATCTCACCAAACAATAGGACCGAAAGGTGGAACCAAACAATGATGAGGACAGTAGTTTATCTAGGTTAGAGATGTCACCAAGGTTAAGTCACCCTATGAACTGTGCCAAAACCACTTCCATAAAGAAAAAAAGATGAGTTCTTGTAAGAAGATACTCTCTTCTGAGGGGAACAGAAATTCCAATTTATTAAGGAAAGTATGCTGCCTTCCCAGGGCCCAGCTTAAAGACATGGTAAGGAAACTTCCTACCCTGGTACAGCCCTCAGATTATTATCCATTATTGCTTTTTCATGTAGGCAGAGATTAAGTTGCAATAAGAAGTCCAAGGACATTCAAAAGAGACTTCACAGCCTTGGGACAACTGGTTGAAGGATCAGGAGCACAAGTAGTGTTCTCTATTTTTCCAGTTTCAGGGAAAGAGGAGTGTCTTGGGGTGATTTTATGATGATACTCTATTCCCTAATTGTCTGCTCTATGCCCAGAAATGGTTGCTGTACCTTTAAGGTGGGTCCAGGGGAGGTGGGGGAGCCTTGGGGCTCTGGTGCGGGCTTTCTCGAAACCTCACTCCTGGGCATGCTGGGTGCGGTGAGGACCAGCGTTACTTTGTTGCTTAGCTAGCTTGGTTTTTTGTTACCTTAGGCAAGAAGTTTTTTTTCCTTTTCCCTGGACTTGAAGGCAGCGACAGCAATCCTTTGGCAGCTTTTGGGGTTTTTTTCCTTGAACTGTTCAGCTTGGTTTTGGTCCTAGATCAGACAATTGACAGGAGTCCATCGGCCAGGACTGGTGGGGGAGCTGCAGGGACACCCCATCTCAACCAGACCTTGGAAAAAGCCAACACAATGAAAGACCCTAAATCCACCAGCTTCATCTGCCGTGAAGAGGAGACAAGCATCAGAGATTCACCAAGCTCCCATGTGTTTGTTTCGAGCTGTTGCGTGAACCTTTGTTTTTTTTCTTCCCTGGGACAGAAGCTGAGCACCATTTTTTTCCTCCCTGCCACGTGACCAGCTGTTTTGTTTCTTCCTTCAGCATTTTGGTTTTTTTGTTTTGCTGTGAGTGGGGGGAGGGGGGGGCTGTAAGGTTCTGACAATTCAATATCTAGCATTTATACATTTTTTTCCAGTGCTGTGCAGGCACTTTGTCAATAAACAGTTGTGGTTTTTTCCACTTTCATACACTAGTATTCATTTTCTCATTGGCAGAAAGGGGTTGTTGAAACCCTTTTCTTTAGAGGAAACACTCATTCCAGAGTGAGAAAGTGAAAAACCATAATTACATTCTGGTTTGAAACACATTGTACTGGGGTAAAGCAATCAGTGGTCACCATGCTGCTTGCTTTAATAATGGCTCTCTGGCACCTAGGCATCACTACCTATTTATATGTAGGGGCAATTTTGTCCCTGGCCTATGTCTTTTACAAATCAGGGACACAAATCAGGATTGCCATATTGATGTACTCAGTGCTAATAATTTATGGAAGTTTAGCAGAGGTACTGGGAGCTATTGAGGATGTGTATGCTCTGTTGTTTTTCTGTCCTGGTCTTGGTAGCCTTCTTTGGGGATTTATTAGTAATTACACCTAATCTATTAGGGGAAAAGTAGGGGATGATGTTTCCCAGACCTTCATCTCCTTCTTCCCCTTCAGATCTGGCACATCACCTTTGAGAATGTTCAGTTTCCCCTGGATGGTAAAGATACCACCTTTCTGGTGTTTTATATGGTAGATTTTTTCTATATGTTCTGCAGCTTGTCTAGAATGAGGGCTGAGATTTCCAGAGAGGCTGTCCAGACATCTGCCTCAGTCATGGAAAATTCTGAGAGGTGTGGGGTATGGGAGGAAACAGGCCAAACCCTGAAGAAATTCTCTGATCCGATAGAAATATCTGAAAGAAAATTGCAATGACAACTCTAATGAGAAGAAGTTCATTGCAATGTGCTGGGCCCTGACTAATGCTTACTGCACACTGCTAGATCCTGTAGGTCAGCAGATACAGACAGAGGGGCAGGAAGATAAATCAGCAGACCTCCCAGTCACTCAGACTGCAGCTAAACCAGGTGGGGAACCTAAGCCAATAGCAATTGCCCCTGTCCAGAGAAGGAAACAAAAAACCAAATCCATTCACCCAGTGGACAATGATGGGGAGCCAGGATCCTCACAGCCAGCAGAGGAATCAGAACCAGAAATCATTATTGAGTCTTTGTCCATAGAAAGCCTTCACAGCCTAAGAAAAGATTACACCTGAAGGCCTGATGAATCTATATTAAGTTGGTTGGTCCGAATCTGGGAAACCGCAAGCGATGGTGTAATTCAGGATGGCACTGAAGCAAGGCATTTGGAATCTCTGTCACATAATGTGGGTATTGACCAAGGGATGACAAGGGGGCCCAAAGCTATCAGTCTCTGAACATGGTTTTTGAGAAGCGTGAAGGAAAGATACCTGTGCCAAGAAGATCTCCAGCTACAGCAAAGCCTTTGGAAGACCATGGAACAAGGGATTCAATGCTTGAGAGAACTGGTGGTGATAGAGATTGTTTTCTTAGACGATCAAACAATTAGGAGCCCAGACATGGTAAAATGTATGCCAGTGATGTGGCTAAAACTTGCACAATTTGGGCAACAAGAATATGCCTCTGCTTTAGCAATGATGAAGTGGAATGAGGGGGACGAGACAGTGAATACAATGGTGAGGAGGCCCCGGGTATATGCAGACACTGTGCACAGCCCAACTCAAGCAAGAATTTCAACTGTGGAAACACATCTGTCAGAGCACATACAAAAACTGGAAGACAGGATTGAGGAGACTCATCAGAAACTCAGGAAGGAGATTAAAGACTACCTTCTCCAAATCTCGTCAGTACAGACCAGAGGCCCTGTTATTGGAAGCAGATGTCCCCCAGCTAGGGAGAGAGGGTATACCCCATGAGCTGAGCTGTGGTTCTTCCTGTTTGACTTTGGGAAAAATATGAAAAGGTAGTATGGAAAACCCACTTCTGCCCTGGCAGCATGGGTGTGTGAACTGAAGGAGGAAAATACTGAGTGAGGGAGTTCCACCAGAAGGAAAGTAGCTTCACTTTCCCATAGCTGAGCTGCCAAACATAAGGGAAGGGAGGATGACATGTCCAATCCCCTTAAAGATCAACTGTGGAAACACATCTGTCAGAGCACATACAAAAACTGGAAGACAGGATTGAGGAGACTCATCAGAAACTCAGGAAGGAGATTAAAGACTACCTTCTCCAAATCTCGTCAGTACAGACCAGAGGCCCTGTTATTGGAAGCAGATGTCCCCCAGCTAGGGAGAGAGGGTATACCCCATGAGCTGAGCTGTGGTTCTTCCTGTTTGACTTTGGGAAAAATATGAAAAGGTAGTATGGAAAACCCACTTCTGCCCTGGCAGCATGGGTGTGTGAACTGAAGGAGGAAAATACTGAGTGAGGGAGTTCCACCAGAAGGAAAGTAGCTTCACTTTCCCATAGCTGAGCTGCCAAACATAAGGGAAGGGAGGATGACATGTCCAATCCCCTTAAAGAAACCTCTAGAATGTATGCCCAGGGAGGGAATGATAGCCAGGGCTAGAAGGGCCCTGCCTCTAGCAAGGTAGAGGCACAGGAGAATCGTGTCTTTTGGGCAGTGTGGATCCAATGGCCTGGCACATCGGAACCACAAAAATACAAGGCCGTGGACAACACTGGTGCATAGTGCACATTAATCCCATCATTATGTGGCGGCAGAACCTGTTTCTATTGCTGGCGTGACAGGGGGAATTGCAGCAGTTGACCCTGCTGGAAGCTGAGGTGAGCCTGACTGGAAAAGAGTGGAAGAAACACCCTACTGTGATTGGTCCAGAGGTCCCATGTATTCTGGGCATAGATTTCCTGCAGAGTAGGTATTTCAAAGACCCAAAGGGACTCAGGTGGGCTTTCGGAATAGCTGCTGTGGAGACAGAGGGCATTAGGCAATTGAACACCTTGCCTGGACTGTCAGAATATCCTTCTGCAGTAGGACTTCTGAGGGTGGAGGAACAAGGAGTACAAATTACCATCTCGACAGTGCACCGCTGGCAGTATCGGACAAATCGAGATGCCGTGATCCCCATCCACAAAATGATCCGTGAACTGGAGAGCCAAGGGGTGGTCAGAAAAACCCACTCACCCTTGAACAGCCCCATTTGACCCGTGCGCAAATCTGAAGGAGAATGGAGATTGACTGTGGATTATCGTGCCTTGAATGAAGTGACTCCACCACTGAGCACTGCTGTGCTGGACATGCTGGAACTCCACAATGACCTGGAGTCCAAGGCAGTGAAGTGTTATGCCACTATTGACATCGCACATGCTTTTTTCTTCATTCCTCTAGCAGCAGAGTGCAGAGCACAGTTTGCCTTCACCTGGAGGGGTGTGCAGTACACCTGGAACCAACTACCCCAGGGGTGGAAGCACAGCCCCACCATCTGCCATGGACTGATCCAGGCTGCACTGGAAAAGGGTAAGGCTCCAGAACATCTTCAGTACAGAGTACATCATTGAGTGGGGGTACATGGCAACAGAAGTATTTGAAAAAGGAGAGAGGATCATCCAGATTCTCCTGGAAGCCAGTTTTGCCATCAAAAAGAGCCAAGTCAAGGGACCTGCTCGAGAGATCCAGTTTCTAGGAATGAAGTGACAAGATGGATGATGTCAGATACCCACAGAGGTCATCAATAAAATCACAGCAATGTTTCCACCGACCAGGCAAGAAGGAAATGCAAGCTTTCCTAGGTGCCATAGGTATCTGGAGGATGCACATTCCCTACCGATTACAGCCAGATTGTAAGCCCTCTCTACCTGGTTACCCACAAGAACGATTTCCACTGGGGTCGTAAACAGCAGCAAGCCTTTGCCCAGATCAAACAGGAGATTGCTCATGTGATAGCCCTTGGCCCAGTCAGGACAGGACCAGAGGTGCAGAATGTGCTCTCTTCTGCAGCTGGGAGCAATGATCTTTCCTGGAGCCTTTGGCAGAAGGTGCCTTGTGAGACTTGGGGTCAACCACGCGGATTCTGAAGCCTGAGTTACAGTGTCCAAAACCAACTACACCCCAACAGAGAAGGGAAACCTGGCAGCCTATGAAGGAGTCCAAGCTCCCTCAGTACTTAGACAAAAGATGTAGTGAAGGAGGAGGGGGAGGGATGCAGCTGGCTGCACTCTCATAGCTGAGAGGCTATCTCTTGAGAAGGGCAGAGGGATCATGAGATTCTGACTGGGGGGTGAGGGGCTGGACTCAGCTTCTCTCTCTTGCTCTCGGATAGAAGGGGGAGACGGCTGGTCTGCGGTTCCTGTGAGAAGAATTCGCTGCCACCATAGAGTTCCGTCTTTTATTACTTTCTACCGTGAGTGAGGCTTTCCTCGTAAGAGCAGCCATTGAACTGGGACCTTACTGAACACCCGATCTCACTAGAAAACAACCTCACCATCTACTCGGGTGTCCCGGGGAAAACCTGGGACCGCAAGACCCTCCACCATCAGAGGGAGTCTCTCCCAGCTGCTTGCAGGAGCCCGGCTGCTGCTGCCCAGCCCCACTGTCTTCTGCTGCTGCTTCGAGATTTTTGCTACACTTTACCCCATGTCTGCCCAACCCTCCCGCAGTTTCTGCTACAGCTGCGGAATCTCTGCTACATTTTGTTTGCCACCCCGGGGTCTGCTCACCTCTGCTGTTCCAGCCACCACTCCAGAGTTCCTACAACAGTCCATTATGCCATTCGAGGGAGGAACCAGGAAGGGCTGCCCCTGTGGGTTTGTAAAGAAAGCCCCTTTTCTATCTCTTCCACTGGC